GTACGCGTCCGAGTCTCGACGCTCCCTTCCCTCTTTCGTACTGGCATTTCCCTGGACCGCACGGGCCCGGATGTCCCTTCACAGGCAGACGACATACCGAACACCTCCTAGATTGACGATGGCGCCGAGGTCCTTCTCCATACCGATGACTCGAAATTCAAGCGGAGCGGACCGAAAACATGAACCGTCTCCCCCAAAAACAGAACAAACTGAGAAAGTTCGAAGGTCACGGGGGGAGCGGTCACGTGGTTTGTGGGCCGAACGAAATCTTTTAGTTGTTTCTAATTACGAAAAATTTTCATGCGGACAATTTTTCCCAAATTCAAGTCTGAAATCTCTGATTTCTTATGGTAAGTGGTTGTTAATCTCCAAGCAGATCTTCTTAATTGTGGTTGCAGCAAAGAGAGTGTTAAATTGGCCAGGCAGTATCTATCTGCCAGACAGTTACTATTTGCCACCCCGTGTTAGGTTGGCGCAAAAAATAAAAGATACCAGTAAAAAAGAGAGCCCCGTTAAAACGGCTAGACCTCTAGCTTGGAGAGTAAGAACTTTTAATTTGTCTCATTGTCTGCTTCTACGTGTGTGTTTTTTCAGGTTCTTCGCCAGTGACATGCTGGAGGCGAACCCTCTCATCGGCCCGATCTTCTTCTCCTCCTTCATGATCTGTATCTTCACCCTCCTGATGAACTTCCTCATGTCCATCGTCTGTGACGCCATTTCCGCCGACGTGGACGTTGACCATGACCAGGACCTTGCCGAGCACATGTGGAGCAGCGTCTGTGCCAAGTTGGGTCTGCACAGCCCTCCCAAGAAAGAGGTCCAGGAACAAGGTAATTTCTTCTATTTGTTACATTGTATTTATCTTTGATTATGCAAATGAAGACTTAGTTTGCATAATTAATGCAAAAATGTTATAATTCCAAGGTGGTAACTGCCTGGAATTCGTACTTGGGGTATTTAAATGTTAAGTGAAGGTGAACATAACCTATGTCGAATACCGACCTAATTTGCATAATGTATGAAAAAAGGCTAGAATGGCATTCTTCGTTAAGATATAAGACTGTCCTTTGGTCTAGAATATGCTTATCATATATGAAGCATGCATTTTATAATCCTAATTGCATAATCACAGGAATTAATATATATTTTCTGAGTCAGAAAGGCTAATGTCATTTAGCGAAGGTATCAGATCGTAGAACTCTAGTTATAATGATAATCTGCAGCAGATAATACGGTAGCAATATCAAGGCAATATCAATAAGCCTATTCGCCATTACCGGCGCGAAATGCATGATGGGTAATATCCGCCATTTTGAGAGATAAACAAAACCGCGTCGCCCCGCGACACAGCGAGCGCGAGTGTCGAATCCCGCTACGTAGCTAAAAAAAATGAGTTTACCCGGGCCGTAAGTGGAGATTTTATATCTTATTGGACGGCAAAGATGACAGACGTTTCTTGGTTGAGGTTAGACTGCCGGTAACTGCCGGTTTTCAAGGCGTTTCCGCGAGTCACGTCCAGGGGGAAAAGCCTACAACTTCAAGGCGCATACAACTTCGTATGCTTAAAAGAATCACGACGCGGTTGCCGAATTCGCCGAAGACAGCAGCAGGTTCAGTTGTGAATGTCAAGAATTATAGTCAAGAATAAAAAAAACTCACCTA